TCCCCGGGTTACATACAAGATAAGGACGGTAGGTTTGTTCTTAAGTTGAATCTGGACGCCAGTTCCGACTTGAATCTTAAGTTGAATCTGTATGTAAGTCGGAACTGGCGTCCAGATTCAGCCACTGCTGAAACTGATCAGTTTCAACAGTGGCTGAATCTGGACACCAGTTCTGACTTACAGATTCAACTTAAGAACAAACCTACAGTCCCTATCTTGTATGTAACCCGGGGACTGCCTGTAGTCGAGTAACCGATAAGAATTCATGAGGTTACTCAACTATTCAATTAACTGATATTTAACATCCTTATTCAATAGGACAATTAAAATGTTTTGGGATCGATTGCTGAAGAGCACTAAGCATAAGTACAGTATATATTTTTATAGCTCTAGAGTAAGTCAGGCTACACTAGTAACATACAAAGTGGAATTACTCAGGAATTAAATATAAAAGTAATATCAACTAGGCCACTTCATGACTTTTTGTTCAGTTCAAGAATTACAGACTCTCACGGCGTGTTTTTCCTTTCTATGGGGTAGTTGACTGTGTTTTGTTTTATAAAGCAATAATCTGGGGCCTGGCTTTCTAAAAGAGGCCAAATTCTGCTCCACATTTCTTAGATCTATGTCTATCTTTATTGCTAAAATGAATATTGATCTGCAAAAATGAATCTTTTCCCATTCACCTTTATTTCAGTAAGAAAGTATATTAAATAAATTATCACAATATATACAAATATCACCAGTATAAATATTATTCCAATTTATAAAAAAACGTCATAAATATATTAAAACTAATAGCAAGTGGTATCTCCAAATCACATCACCTAAGTAGTTAATTTATATACCCCATTATAAAAATAAAATAGTTCTCTCAAGTGTTTAATCATCAGTATAAGTGCTAAATTCTATTTCCAATTGAATACGTGCAAGAAATTAGTTATCTATTGATTTAAATTGATTGCAAATAAAACAAGCTACTCAGTTTAGCAGCTGGAGTGGCCAAAAGTCTAGACAGGTAATTCTGTGTCTGTGTGGACAGCAGATTCTTCTTGAAATGACTATTAGATGTTTGGATCTGTTGCATTATGGTTTTGAAAGTTAGTTTGACATGGTACTCTCTCTGCCTCATGAGCGCTTGTTAGGATGTCATATAGTCAGTCTTTTAGTTTTTATAACCTATATCAACTGATACACAGAATAAACCAACCTACAATTGACTTATCCAAAAAGTGCAGAAGGAATCGTAGTGTTCATCTCTGAGTTAATATTTCATCATATATATTTCATCCGTTTACTAATATTAAAATCAAAACAGGGTTTTTAAAAGGGTAGTGTTTTGCTTTAAATATATAAAAAAAGTTTCACAGAAACAGGAAATGTTCCTTTACACTTAAGTAAAGGCTAATATTTAGAGACAGTAGTTTTTTTCCCCCCTCCAAGTACCATAAGCTTTTCTGTCTGGGTATGCAGCAGCATTTGAAGTAGTAACAAAAGACACTTCTTGTAATTTTCCTTAAACATCGTTAAGTGGCACCGTTTCTTTTTCCTTTGCAGCTTTTGTTTTCTTGCATTTATACAGGGTCACAGACAAGACAATGATTGTAATGAGGATTACAATGGCTGCAGCTGCTATGATAATAAAAACTTCGGTCCCATACTCTGTTGGGGGGAGGGGGGGGAGAAAAAGCAAACAAAGAATTAACAGCTCATCAGTGCATACAGATTTTTATATAATGTTTATTTGCTTTATCTTAACATAGTAACTAACATGGATCCCAATCCTATAAATCTATTGAATACCTCTCATGAGGTGATAAGACCATTCATGTCTCCTTGAAGCCAATCTCTTCCTGTGAAGCACTCTGAACCTTAAAGGATCAGGTATTCAGTTATATCCATAAATATAATGATTGTGCAACAGATTTGGACACTTTAACAGAAACTTATTCTGTGGTTTTACACTGTTAAAACCAAAACAGTTTGGACAAAATTTAATGAACTCAAATATTTTGTGATACCACGTTGAATATTCTATATTGCAGGAATATTTTTTGTATGATGGGGAGAGGAAATGAAATTTTGGGGAAAGAAATGGTTTCTGCTTATGAATACAAAATGCACAGATTCTTTCTTTATAGGGAATGAGAAGGGACTGTAAGGGAGAGCAGACAGCACTAAATTACGATCTGATATTTTTTTCAGTAAAGTGTTTCTCTTGATACCAATGAAGAAAATAATGTTTAAAAACAGCCAACTGATCAAAATACCAACTGAAATTTATTAAATAATTGTGGATATTTTGGGCAGTTTCAATATTGATTTAAATTACAGCACAATACAAACAGTTACAGTGCTCACTTTATATTATATTTGATTACAAATATGCACTGTAAAAAGATAACCGATATAGTATTTTTCATTTAATCTCTTTAAAGTACTGAAGTGCAGTCCCTTTACTGTGAAAGTGTAACTCACAAAATGTAGGCTTTTTTTGGTTACACAACTGCACTCAAAAAACAAAGTAAAATGCCTACTAAATACTACTACTTGTTCTGCCATTGCTAAGACAGATAAGTTTGTTTACATTGACAGGAGATACAGCTACCTGCTTCTTATTTACAATGTCAGCAGAAAGTGAAAACAAGTATTCACATGGCGCTTTTGTAGCTGGCGTTTCAAGGTATTTACTGCCAGATATGCTAAACATTTGTATGCCCCTTCATGCTTTGGCCACCATCCCAGAAGACATGCTTCCATGCTGATGATGCTCTTTCACAAAAAAATAATAAAAAAAGGTATTAATCTGTGGCTGAACTCCTTGAGGGTGAATTGTATGACTTCTGCTCTGCTTTACCATATATTTCATGCCATAGGTATCTCGGATGATGACCCAGTACATGTTTGTTTTAAGAACAATTTCACAGTAGATTTGACAGAATGCAAAGAAAGTACCAATGTGAGATTTCTAAAGATAGCTTCAACACGCAACCAAAGCTTAAGAATCTGAAGTGTTATCCAAATTCTAAGAGTTGTGGAGCACACTTTCGAAGCTTTTCAGAAGCGAGACTCTGTTGTGGGAGCTACAGAATCCAAACCACCAAAAAAAGCAAATTCTGCTGGTGGCATCTGACTCAAATGGTGAAAATGAACATGCGTCAGTCCACACTGCTTTGTATCGTTATCAAGCAGAACCCATCATAAACACAGACATATGTCCTCTGCAGTGGTATTTTAAATATGAAAGGACATATAAATCTTTAGTGCATCTGGCAAGAAAATGTTTTGCAGTGCCAGCTATAACAGTGCCATGTGAATGCCAGTTCTCATTTTCAGGTAACACAGTAAACAAACGGGAAGTATTCTTCTGCAAATTGTAACCAAACTTGCTTAGCTGGGAAACTTTCATTATAAGTAAACTATTTATCAAAGGGAAAGAAAAATATAAGCCCAACGATGAGGAAATCTGAAATCTCAGTGAAAAGTCATCAGTTCCGGCCCCCAAAAGAGGAAAAACATTTTTTAAGTGAAGAGGCAATTGCAGTTGGTGGGAAAAGGTGGGATGTTCAAAAGCGCTCACTGTTGAACTAACTTTCTCTCACTGAAGTCAATGGTAATGTTGAGATACAGTAGAAATCTCAATGATTGCCTCATGAAGATTCTTCTCTTGGGTTTTTCATATGGAATGGGTAAGGGGGCCCAAAGTAATTTAAACAAAGCCATTTCTTCTGGAATCAATAAAACTTATGTATCCCAATGCTTTATACAGAGAATTACAAAAAAGTTGTTGAATGCAAGAGACAGCAAGACAAATAGTCTGTTTACTTGTTTCACCAGATACATACCATCCAAGATATCTCTCTGATGACTGGTACAATTCACCTTGCTTTCTTGACTTTTGCGGTTCTCTGTGCGAGAGAGTACAGTTGCCTGTACATTGAAGCAATAGTTCTTTCCTTTGTCAATATTTATTTCAAACTGATTACTTTTTGTTGTTGCCTCTTTCTGCATTTAAAGGGAAAAATGACAGTTTCTTCAGGAAGACATTCTTTGTAAAAGTTTTAAATAGCACAGAAGATTTGTAACTATACAACATACAAAATTAGAAGTATAGGAAGTTCAAAATAAGGATTTACCTTTCCTGTACTTTGATCTTTCCAATAATATAGTGTGTATTCCAGGTCATTTTTAAAAATATCTCTGATACTTTTAAAGCTTTTATTGGAAAATCTGTATGGTGTAAGTGGATCTTCAATTACCACTTTCAGCTTGGAGTTGATTTGTTCATAAGTTTGAATCCCAGGTCTCCCAATTGTAGCTAATACAAATACAAAAACATTTTTAGACTCAATTCCAGGCATAGGAAAAAATTATTGGTAATTTTCACATAACATTCCCCATTATTACCTCAACCTTTGCCTCTCCAAAAAAACCCCCAAACAAACCCAAAAAAATCCATACACATTCTCTACTTTTACCAGATTTAAACACAGTGCCTAAGTCACGGATGGTACTTCTACACAGCAGAGCTAAAGCTGAAATAAGATACGCACCTTGAGCTATATCAATAGTGTAGCTTAAGTCAAAATAGCTTATTTCCACTTTTGGTGCTCTCTACACTGCAGGAAATCTGAGAAGGAGCACTCTTCCTTGAATTCCCTAACTCCTTGTAAAATGAGAGTTACAGGAGTCGGAGAAGTCCTCCAGCTTGACATTATTATGACGTTGAAATAACTGCTTGTAGTGTAGATGCGGATCCAAAATAACATTGCTGTGTAGATGTACCCATAGTGACTGGCCCAGGCAATGTGCATATTAACATTTCAACCCAATGTACACCGCTCACACAAAACTCTAGGCACCACTTAAAATCCGGTGTTAAGGGATAAAGTGGTGCAAGTCCCCTGGAGTGGGAAAGATTTCCGCTATAGCTAGAAGGTGGCCAAACACCACAATGACAAGAGCGAGAACCTAAATAGAAAAACTCTAGGCTCAATCCAAGACCCACTGAATCGATAGGGCTGATATAAAAAGGTGATGTGATATAACAAAGAATTACTAGACAATCCTACTTACTCTGATTGTATGGTGTGAATTTTGGGGAGATTGCATAAGATGGCTCTTCAAAGTTTTCTGACCTTGTAAGCATTTCAGACTTTATATGTGCAGTATAGGTGTCTTTTACATTCCCCAGTTTGTCAGTAACATCACACTCTGTTTCTTCTGTGTGGATGCACGCTTTTTCCCAGTTTGAGTTGATTCTGAAAGGAACCAAGAATGAAATATTGATAACACTTTCTAAACAAAGTTTCCTGCATATGCATCTACATTCATGCATGTTGTATACAATGCCTGGGATAAAATGGTTCTTAGTAATCATCAAAGTCCACAATTTTTACAGTTTCTTCTAAACACATCATGCTTGTACCAGTAATCTGTTTTGTGAAGTTGATGGGAAAAATCAATACCATACAAACATGCTTGATTCCTATTTTTAAAAATTTAACTAAATTTCTGTTTCTGGCCAATAGCAGCTGCCTGTTTGCAGGAGCGGCACCATGTGAAGTACCCCTCCCCACCTCTCATGGACCCTGTAGCTGCTCATATGGACCTTTCTGCACTCCTATCCCATGTAACCCAAACCTTCTGCACCCCCACTACAGCCCCCATACATCTTCCCAGACACTGTACACCCTCCAATGCCACCCTCAGGTCACATCCCACTATCCGTGGTCATAGCCCAAATCCCTGCACCCACTCCTGCCCCAGCTTACAACCCCCTCTCAGACCATGCACCCCCTTCTAAATTCCTGCCCCAGTTTACAACCCTCTCCCAGACCTTGTAATTCAGGGGTGGGCAAGACAGCCTCCACAGGCTGGATCTGGCTTGCGAAGCCCTTTGATCTGGCCCACGGCCGCGCTACCACTCCTCCACCCCCAGGCCAGTCAAGACCTAGGGATGGAGGAAGCACCAGAGGAAACTGCTAGCTGTTCAAAACAGCTGGCAGTTCTCTCTAGGCACCGGGCGCCTTTGGCAGGGTGGAGGACAAAGACTTCATACGCTCCCCGCCCCCAGGCCAATCAGGGTCTGTGGGAGGGGGAACACGTGAAGTTTCTGCCTTCATTCCTTCCACCTGAGGCCCCACTCCTCCTGGGGTGTCCTGCAACCACTTCTGAAATTCATGAAGTACCTCCCACCTTCAAAAATTGTTGCCCACTCCTGATTTAGCCCCTCATCCAGAGCTCACAGGAAAAAAAAATACAGGAAAGTTATTGCATATTTCACCCTTTGCTCATGAAGTTTAGCTTCCAGTTGTAGACACTGGAACGTGTCCGAAATTGTTACAATAAAATGCTTTCCAAAAGTCTAGTGCGCAGACGGTTAATAATTCATTTTCTCTTTGGGGCATGTTCAGTCATTGTTTACATGATAATTCATAGACCATATGCACAGTGAAGATTTGATATTCAACACAGTTTTGTAATAAAAATAAAATTAGGCACTTAATATGTGCTTGTTTCTTATTAGCCCTGTGTTTTGAAGAAGTCTATATTAATCTTAATATAGTCTTAATTCTATAGCTTCAGGGGGTAGCCGAGTTAGTCAGGATAAATTTAAAAAACAAAAAATGGTCTGGTAGCACTTTATAGACTAACAAAACATGTAGATGTATCATGAGCTTTCGTGGGCACAGCCCACTTCTTCAGATGACTGGAGTTTTTACCAGTCAAATGCTACCAGACCATTTATTAATTCTATAATCCATGAACTGAAGTAAGCTTAGGCAGTTAGATGGAGAGATTATTTTTAAAGTTACCCAGCAAGGCTAAATAGCACTGAACTACTTAACTAATGCATTAATCATTAAATTAGAATAAAATTAGTCATATCTATGAGATGTCTGCAACTACTTTCTCTCAGCATTAAAATGAGGGAATTGTTTTAACACAGTGTTTCTCAAACTGTGGGTCCCAACCCTCTGGAGGGTCGCAAGCAACTTAGAGGAAGGTCGCAAGCAACTGAGAGGGTGGTATCATGCAGCAGTGGTATCACAAGTTTGAGAACCCCTGTTTTAACAGATGAAACCTATGATTTTTTTTAAATGTAGTCTTCATGAAGGGCTCTAAACCGGTGCAAAATATTTTTGGCCAAATTTTCCAGTACCAGGTGGCCTGTATTGAAACCCCAGAGCCAGCATCTGATCCATACATTTCATTTCTACAATGAGCAGACTCAGAGACTGGAATCAGGTACACATACATTTGGAAGCAACCAAAACCCAAAATAGGGATCATAACTTTCCTAAAAGTTCCCATGTTTGGACTCTGTGCATTACATTAATAGATTCAAGATATTCAATCATTCTGCCAGCATGACTATACTTTTTCTGCCTTGATCTCAAATGTCTGTTTAAAATTGCCATTCATTATAATCCAGTGGACAGAAGGGCAGGGGTACTTATAATTGTATCTACTTACCCAGATATTTCTACTGTATAGACATAGTTAGTTGGCTTGGGTTGCCACTGTAGTATTGTTTTGAAATTGATTGATGACCAAGTTATATTAACTGCTGTTGGCAGTTCTGAATTACCTTTAAAGACAGGAAAAAAAAGTTGTGATGAGTCACATTATATAGAGCTCTAGATTTATTACATTCCCTATTTAGCAGAAGTAAAAATTTTATTTATAATGGTTTGTGGCGAGAAAAAAATCACAGACATCATATTCATTTTACTTCTGCTATGGAAAATTCTTTTTTTATTGGCAAATGTGGGAAGAAAGTTCCTCTCCTCCCACTTGATGATCTAAATCTTTTGCAGTACAGCATAGTTGGCCCCAAATGTGCAGAAAGACCACTGGATGCATCTAGGAACTGTTCAGAATTTTGCTTGCTTCTGTTGTTTTACTACAGTTTAAGCCAACACACATATTTTATAATGAGCGTGTAAAGACTTGAAAGAAATGTGAGATTTTGCATCATATTTGCCATTCATATATATTACATACAGTATAGGTAAAAATTTATAGTATAGAATCCAATAACTGAGTTTCCTGATTCTTATTCAGATGAATTCTCAACCATAGCAATTGCAGATCTGACTTACTTTTTTCTTATTTTAAAAAGCACACAGAGACAAGTAAACTGTGCACCAAATAACTGCAAAATTTCGTTTTATAAAAGTGAAAAAGTGCATGTATATTGTACACTTTAGTATTAATTTTCAACATTTCCAATCATAAATTTAATGAAGTCTAAATTCAGTTTAAAGAACTAGAAGTATGTGAAAAATCCTACAACACTAGTCAAAGCACAGGGAGTAGTGCATTAAAAGGTCATACGTTCCTCACACAACTATATTAAAATGGAAATAATTGTTTTAAAATTTTTATAATCTGTTTCCTTGTATGAATATCACTTGCTTCTGTAAGTATATAACTCATTTGATATGCTTTTTAAATATATATATATAAAAATCAGAGCAGTCCAAGGTGGAGATATTGAAACGAGACTCCAAATAATTCCAGTAAAATGTTGGTGCTAACAGCACATCATTCTTAATAAATGTATTACCTGCCTTCTCTCCTTCGCTTTACCATTTAGTAACATAAAAGATCAGTCTCCAACCTACCCATAAACAACTATAACGCTGAAACTTAATTTTGAATCTAGAACTGTAGAAAAAGAGGCGCAAAATATGTAACTTTCCCTAGAAAGGGAAATGGGCAAACCCCCCTGGTGCTCTCATGGGCTCTGCTGTCGGGCTCTGCTGTCGTCAGTCTAAGTTTCAGCAGAGCCCTGTTCATTCCATAGGTACTTCCTGGAGCCACGGGCTCCATTTGCGGCACGACCCCACCTCTACAGCTCCCAAGTCCAGCCAAACGTGCCAGCCTCGGTGGCGCTGGGAATTCTGACACACCGATGGCACCAGTCTCGCCCCTTCGGCCGCGGGGTTATGGCCCTCAAGCCAGCCACGGCTCTTGCGCCCAGGTGCAGCTCCCAGGGAGGGCTCCTGGATGTTGCCTTTTATCCTCGAAACCCCTCCTACAGCCTCGTTTCTCCGTCCGCCTGCCCGCGCTCGGGCCGGACATTGCCCCCAGGCTTTACCCCAACAGCATCCCCGCGGAAGCGGCGCGCCCCAGAAGTCTCTGTACCGCTCCCCCCTCGCCTGGCGGAAGAGGGCGCCTTCCGGGGAGCTGCTGCGCAGCCTCTTCCCCTGCTCTAGCCCGGCCAGCTGCCTGCCTCAAGCAGAGGGCTCGGTCCTCAGCAAGGCTGGGCTCGCAGGGGAACCTGTAGCCCGCGCTTCGGTGACCCCTCTTCGCCCAAGCACCTTCGTTCTAGAGAGGGGCACAGTCATCGTGGTTTAGCTCCTGCGCCCATCCTATGGGGTGGGGGGAGAGGGCAGAGGTAGTGTTTGCGGCCTCAAAGAAAAGGGCAGGGGGAGAAAAGAGTTAATTTGAAGAGGCCTGTTTTTGCAGTCTTCTTTCTTCTAAAGAAAGAGTTCATCTGAAGAAGTGGGTTGTGCCCACGAAATCTCATGATACCACCTACATGTTTTATTAGTCTCTAAGATCTCTAAACTACAGGTTTTTTTGGAAAAAAGTTAAAAAAAAAAAAACTGTACCTGCATCTAGACTACTGCAAGTCATCTTTCGGGCGCTATTGCATTAAAACAGCGCTTTTTCGAAAGAGAGCATCTAGACTCTCTTTCAAAAAAGTGAGCCGCTTTTTCGAAAAAGCTTGTTGTCTAGATGTTCTTTTTTGAAAGAGGCTATTTTGAAAGATACTTTCAAAAAAGCCTCTTTCGAAAGAGGCTTGCAGTCTAGACATAGCCTAAGGGTTTGTCTACACTTGCACTCTCTTTCAATAGAGGGATGCAAATGAAGACATTCGAAATTGCAAATGAAGCCAGGATTTAAATATCCCACACTTCATTTGCATAATTGCGTTATGGCGCTATTTCGAAATAGCGCTATTTCAAAATAACAGACGCAGTTACTTCAAGAGAAAATCCTTCTCTTGAAATAATTGGTAAACTTCACTGTATGAGGAATAAGGGTTATTTCAAGAGAAGGGTTTTCTCTCAAAGTAACCGCGTCTTAACAGCGTCTGTTATTTCGAAATAGCGCTATTTTGAAATAGCGCCATAACGCGACTATGCAAATGAAGTGCGGGATATTTAAATCCCGGCTTCCTTTGCAATTTCAAATGTCTTCATTTGCATCCCTCTCTCAAAAGAGGGTGCAAGTGTAGACATACCCTTATATGGTGCTGCAAGACTATTCCTTGTTTTTTTAACTTTTTCTTTCTTCTAGTTAGTACCTGGATTCCAAGGTGGTAGAAATATCTTTCTTGTTATATTTTGGAGTGGCCAAACTTACTGACCCTGGGAGCTGCATATAATAGTGAGGCAGGGCACACCTGCTAGGGCTCAGGGCTGTGGACCCTCTCCCCATGGCAATGGGCAAAAGCCCCCACTCTACCAAACCAGTCTGGTCGGTGAAGGGGGGCAGGGAAAGATCTCCAGGAGCTGCGTTTTAACAGTAAAAGAGCTGCATGTTGCTGCAAAGCCACAGTTTGACGATCTCTGTCATATATCCTGTAGCTCATATCTGTATAAAGATCTGCTCCTCTTTCTTATATCCTCTTGTGATTAGAGTTACAAACCATGTTTGTAACTATAAAAAAATAATAGCCCTGTGGCATCTTAGAGACTAACAAAACGTGAGCATCTGATGAAGTGGATCTTGACCATGAAATCTCATGATACTATATGTTTTTGTTAGTTTCTAAAGTGCCACAGGTCTACTAACTGTTTTTGTGATTTTTGGTCCATTCAAACCCCAGACTCAAACATGCAGAAAGTATAAACTGCATTAAAATGAAACTGGAGAAAATGGTTTGCATGACATTATTCTGTGGCTGTGCACAACTTGGAATGAATTCATTATAGGGATGTACAGACGGTCCCTGAGTTGCGAACGGTTGAGTTACGACAGTTCACATTTATGACCAAAGCTCCCATAGAGCGGTTGTAAAGGCGGTCCCTGAGTTACGAACGCAACACGCGCTTACGAACAGTGCGGTTGCTATGTAACTCAATGGGGTCCAAGTTACAAACAAATCGAGTTATGGCCAAGTGTTCGGTCCGTAACTCGTTCGTAACTGGGGGAGAGGCTGGTGGGGGCTTGCTTTTTGGATAGTTGACACACTAGTCAACTAGTCACTTCCCACCCCCCTTGCTGCCTCTATCAGAAAGAGGCAGCAAGGGGAGGGAACAGGAGAGGCCTCTGGAGGGAGCTGGCTTAAAAGCAGGTTCCCCCCAGTTCCAGCTCCATGGGAGGGGGCAGGGATGCAGCAGTGGCGTTCCACCTTTGAAATGTACAAGAGTCCCCCCCCATGGGTTCTTGTATATTTCAAAGGCAGAACTCCCTGCAGCATTTCCACATTTGAAATGTAGCAACAGCTGTGCAGACTCCTGCTACATTTCAAAGCGGAAGTACCCTTATCGACTAATCAAATAGTTAATGGAAATTCTATTGACTATTTGATTAGTTGATTAATCTAATTTTAACATCCCTAATTTGTTAGTGTGTACCAATGCCATCTATTGGAAATAATTTCTTGCCCAAATAAATTATCAGCAAAACTAGAGGAATTGTTTTTTGTTCAGCAAATTAGAAATGTGTAACTTTTGAAGGTGAATGTCTGTGCGTAAGTTCTGGAACTAAGGGTTCTGGAAATGCTTCTGCACCTACCCTCTGCCTTGAATGGGGGTTCCATTATCTGAAGAGTTCATGGTTTGGTTCAGAGGCTCTCAGCATTCCCGCTAGCAAATTGGTTCAGCATCCCTGTTTCTGTGCATACTCTCTTGCATTCCTGTGATGATAATGTGACATGGATCATTCGTCACCATAGTATTTGAATACGTCTCAAGTGTTTCTGGAGTTATTGTCATAATAATAACATTGTAAAGAAAGAACATATTATAGCACTTTTAAAGGTGAGGTGCTGAGAAGATAAGTAACTAGCACAAAACTATGTAAGAAGTCTGTAGCCTTTTTACCAAAATCTTCTGAATCCCCATCTAGAGCCCTAACCACAAGCCCATCCATCTCCCCACTGCATTGCCCTGACTTCTTTTCTCTCCATCTCTTTCTTTATTAGGACTTCTTAGTCTCACTTAAAAAAAACAGAAATTCTTTAGGCTGCATGTGATTACTAGACACCCTGTTGCACTTTCCTCCCTGCATGCCACCTTCCAATAGTCTGCATGACCTTTTAGCCTGTGGTATTTCACTATTGTATATATTTGGTGATCTGAAAAGTGCCAACTAAATGTCAAATAGCAGCAACGCTATGTATAGAAAAAGCTATAAAATGAGAGGGGGTATGTGCATGTATATGTTGTGGCATGAAGCTGACTGTTCCTCTGGAATCAAAGTTGAATTTGACAAAGTCCAGTGCTTGGAGTCTGTAGGAGAAAGAGGGGAGAAAAAAGGATGGCAAGAAGAATGGGCAGGTCAGTATCTGTATGTTTACAAAACACATTCGTTTTAATTGCCATTTACTGGCAGGCTCAGCACATTAAATCTTTTAAAGCGTCAGTTCTGTTTTGTCATTTAAAAATAATATTTAAGGCCAAGCTAAATTCAACCCTTTGTTGCATCATGGTTCAGTATATGCCACACAATTTCTAATTTTTCTTCACTGCTTTAGATTAAATTTCAGTATTGTATGCCGTTATGCAGCTGCACTTTTCCAGCAGAAAGCTTTCATTCTTTATATAACAATCTTATTTTATATGTGGGATTAGATTGTCTTCTGCAGTAAATATTTTGATGACAAGATAATGACCTTGTGAATTCTGCAGTCTGTGTTTCTTCATTTAAAGAGAGCTTTATATGGAGAAATCTTTCCCCTTTGGTTACAGAGAAGAGCCATTTATGTAAAGCTTTTATGCTCTAGAATTTTATTTTCATTTTTATTTCCTTACAGTTTTTCTATAAAGAATTAAAAGTAAGAACATAAGAATGCTGACACTGGGTCATTCCAATGGTTTAGATTCCTCAGTATCCTTTCTTTGACAGTGACTGGTGCCAGAGACTTCCGAAGGAACAAACAAAACAGGTCCTTTTATCCAATCCCAGTTTCTGTCAGTCAGAGGTTAGGGATACCTTCTGCAGACACATACTCTACAATAGCTATTCATAAATATTGTATTTGGTCAAATTCTGCCTCTTTTTCAGTGGAGAGTAGTCAAGCATATAAGTTAAGGCAGAAATTTTCCCTATGGCTGTGTCTAGACTGGCCAGTTTTTCCGGAAGGAAAATCAGCCACTTTTCCGGAAAAACTTGCCAGCTGTCTACACTGGCCGCTTGAATTTCCGCAAAAGCACTGACGATCTCATGTAAGATTGTCAGTGTTCTTGTGGAAATACTATGCTGTTCCCGTTCAGGCAAAAGAGCCAGTGTAGAAAGCTCAGATTTGTTTTCCGCAAAAAAGCCCTAATTGCAAAAATGGCGATCGGGGCTTTTTTGTGGAAAAGCATCTCTAGATTGGCACGGACGCTTTTCCGCAAAAAGTGCTTTTGCAGAAAAGCGTCCGTGCCAATCTAGATGCTCCGTTCCGAAAATGCTTTTAACGGAAA